TTTACCCGCGTGTACGCGGGAGAATCGCCTAGTATAACATAAGTTAACAACAAAAAAGTGTAAATAGAAAGTTTGGACTCGCTAACCACAGCAATTACATATATCAACCCAAAGAGAATTAATGAAATGACGTCAAACAGATAAAACAATTAATGATAAAAATACATCCTAATTTTAACTATTACTTATTATGTCTTGCTTGAGAATCTGGTTTAATTTTGTAGAATAAATCATCCTGTACCATGAGGTATCGAGAATAGTGGTAACTAGCGAAGTAAACAGTTGTACAAAACCCACAAAGTAATCGTCCTATATTATTACTTTCACATACAAAAGACTTGGTTGCAGGACAATGATATGCACAGTATTATTTAAAGCCTGGTGCGTTATACACGCTAAAGAAGTGAACACTTAACAAAGGATTGATGTGACTGTAAGATGTCAGATGTGTTCTAATAAGAAATATACTATATACAAAATGACTCTACATAGGGTAAATATCAATTCTATTTGAGGTAGCAGGTTTCCATCTCCAGTTTAATAATTCAAATCTCGTATCAATCAAAAGGTATGACGTATAGGCCGGAAAATCTTTAAAGAGGAAAACAAATTACCTCTGGAATTTGTCTTTGAATAACAGATTCAACAGCAACAACCATAGCATGCACAAAGTCATCGCCCCCAGTCCCGATTGCGGTAAAACCTCTATCTGTGGGGTATGTATTGACCTGGCAAGTAAAATGCCAGCCTTGAGTCAGCCAATATCCATCCCCATGTCAAAATCAACAAGGCCTCGAGAAACACGAGCACATAGTATTTGAAAGCAAAATAAAGAACAACTCTAGTAGAGACTGACCATACAAGAAGAAGAATTTTCTGCAAGAGATACCTTTTGGTCAAGTTCGAGCCACTCCTTAGTAGAATCATCAGCCACAGTTCCTCCGATAATCACATTAGTAGTTTTCCCAACCCTCCCATCAGTCTTTGACACTTCTGCATCCCATCAGCAATGAAAAGACTATAAATTCATCATCTGTTTCTTTCACCTATAAATTGATTGCTAACCCTAAACTGATATAAATTCCCGAGTGAAATTGACACAAAGGGATTTCAAATCCCGAATAGTCGTTCAACTCAAGACTAGCACGTCAATCGAACCTACAAATTCGTTTCCTCATCATCACAGATCCAAGCTCCATTTCGGCAAAATCACTCAAATGAGTTAGATAGGAAGAAGTTAACCTGAAATAGCCTTGAGAACAGCTTCTTGAGGCGGGCCTTGATCGGATTGATCGTGATGGCTGCAACTGAGGCGAGGGAGCCGGTCGGGAACAGACGCAAAACCACTGAAACCAAGACTCTTTGGCGCCCGGAACAAACCATGGACCGGAACTGACGACGGAGAAGGAGGGACAAAGAAGCATCTACTTGCGCCGGCGAAAACGGAACGCAATATCGTTTTGCAAGCCATCATCGTTAGAGATGAGTCCAAAGGCTTAACGCTGCGTTTGGGTTATTCATAAATTGCCTCTCGCGATAAGGTAAAACGACTCTTCTGCCCTTGGGATTTTGTCTTGTATAACCTGTTCGTTGGGGGTCGTTATTGTCTTTTACGAGCAAAATTCTGCCCTTGGGTTCCGTTTAACTGTAATAACAATTAGGAACCAAAATGTCCTCAAAGAACACAGAATTGCGACAAGAAATTTTACCCTTCTCACTACTAATTCATTTCATAATCTTCTATTAATAAGAAATGGCACCAAAATGTAACTGCATAAGCTCATATTAATGGCAAAAGACCTCTAACCCCATCGAAAATCGACATGAAGAAGCAAACATCCTAAAGTAAAAGATAGTATCATAATAGCCACAAACGTTAATCTCTTCAACTCTCAGGAAATGTAACTTTGCAGAGCATTATTTCCTTCCATCACTAGTACATCTTCTTCATCTTGCTGGAGGTGGAGGGCCAAGGGATTTTGCCATGCGAACCCAAGCAACAATCCCAAAAGCAAGAATTATCCAACCGCATACATCATATGTGAAGTCATTGTTCTTCTTCTTCCTACCACTCTGCAAAACCAAGCCATTTCCTCAGAACCAATATAACCCACATACGAGATTCACGTTCACTAGGGAATTAATTTAGACGACACTTCTCAAAACATTGAACAGCACACTACAGAATCAACGCAACACACGATCACTTACGCTAGCATTCGATGAAGCTGAAGGACCTCCTCCTCCACCTAGTGGTTGCTGTCCCATTCCATGCTTATGTATCTCCATATGCAGTTCCGGGGCCTATTCACATAATCATAGACCCAAAAAAATAAGGTTTTAGGTTCCTCAAGGAGCAAAAACATGAGCTCAAAAATTGAATTTTATAGCATCAATTCTCTCCTAATGTTATAATTTGAGTACACAGATATTTGACTCTGAAATCGTACCTTTGCTGCGACTTCCAAGGACTTGCGGTATATCTCATTGCCTGGATCCTAAAAACATAAAAATAAGAAGCTGGTGTCACTAGACTCACGGCGATTATATAAATTCCAATTCAAACGGCATAAACTCTGAGGATGTACCTCGTTTTCAGCTCTTTGGTAATATTCAGCGGCTTTATCAAAGTGTCCCTTTGCTACATCAGAATCTGAAATAAGAAATGCTTGGGAAGTGTAGGCGTTCCCAAGACACCAGAGAGCCTGATGCTTCCCTGGATTTAATGTCAATGCCTCTTCCAACTTGGCAATGGCATCTACAACATGATCAATATTTTAGAGCGAAGCAAAAATAGATTATCTCAGACTTTCGAACAAGTCATACCATTTAACATCTGCTTCGCATCAGGAATACTTTGGAACTGAGAAAGTTCAAGCAATGCTCCACCCCACTTCACCAGATTCTGCAGAAAATCAAAAGGAATTTAGGAGATGACCTGTATCAGTATTTCTGAAATTCATTTCTTAAAGACCCAAACTTACACAGCGATTAGTATCAATACAGAGTAAACAGCACACAAGAGTGAACATCAATCAAGCAACCCATCTCCACACAACATCATCAACCAAGACGAGAAGCAAGAATAGCAAAAGAAGCAGTTCGGAGAGATGAGACTAGTAGAAACCTCGGAATCAAGCGGATCGTTAATGTACTGAGCTTCACTAGATTTGCGAGCATGCTCGAACATGAGAAGCCTATCGAAGTCGGCGGCAGTGAATTCCATCGTCAGAAAATCTAGGGTTCTGTTGCTGGGGAGAGAAGAAGACGATCTCGTGATGAAATTTGTTTGACCTCAGGGTTTTAGCCGGCGATGATTGGGCCTACAATTGCCACCTATCTCTTAATGGGCTTTCTTATGGGGCCTATAATGAAATTCAAACCCGTAACATTTCCAGTTTCCAGATCAAAGCTTCAGATAAAGGACAAAGGAAACATGGTGCTCTTTCTTGTAGACATATTTTCATGACTCAATTGTACAACACAAGAAGTAGCCGGTTTGTCTACATAATTAAGCAAAAGCAAAGAATAACTACAAGTTAAGAGAGTGTTTGGTACATGTGAAAATGGTAAAAGATGCATCTTTGTGGATTCCACAGAAACATATATTCAATTTTAAAAGAGAGAACAACATTCAATACATAAACTTGCCTGAGTGTTCATGGGAAAGAAGAAAGGGAAACAGAAAGAAAGCATTATACAAGGATTGAGTGTTTTTGTCTCTTTCCAAACTTATGTTGATCTAGTGAATATTAGAAAGAGATCCAGGTGAAACGTAGCGTTCCTATCTATCACGCTTCAACTTATTAGAATCCTGTGTATCTTTCTCCATTTTTGCATTTTTTGTTCTTTGATTCGTTCCAGTTTTCGTTTTACACTCTTATCACAGTAAAACAACATCTTAAATCTTTGTTTAATTTGTTCAAAAAATAAAAAAAATATATTTGTTTAATTTGTTGTTGATTCAAGCTTTAAAGGAGTTCAGTTTAAGCCTTTAAATCTTCACAAAGTAGTATGAGCGAATGTTATTTGTTTGTGGTTTTGTAAGGTCCTCTCAAACCAAGAGCGTGAGAGATAGTGCATGTAAGGAATATTTTCTTTTCCTATTATGTGGTCTTTAGTGATCAGTTTTCCAATTGGAATAATGTTATTCCATAATATATTTGGTGTCCAATTAAATAGAAATAATGGAGTTAATTCCTAATAATCTCTACTTTGATGGACGGTTGAGATTAATACTAAGAAACCCTTAAAGAGGAATTAGGTCCTCTCTCCACCTATAAATATGTGTCTTTAGCCCATCATAAAGGCATCAAAGTACACAACACCTAAAGATAAGTTTATAGGCAAGGGGAGAGAAACCTAACTCCTACCTCAGAGATCGGGCTTTCCATCTTCCATCAGAATATCATTCAGGAAGATCTTTCCACTATAATGAACGGAGGTAATCCGATAATCCTTCTCATAGATTCTATTATGTGATTAACCTAGATGTTTAAAGATCTTAGGGTTCATGTAAATTATGACTTACAGTGCAACCATATATCAATAGAATGGTCAAGGAGTTTATGGGTAAGACCGCAAGAGAGTGATGGATGGGAGAGTCAATTAATGAAACAAAAAGTTGTCTTGATACATAAGAAAACTCATTAGGCTCTATAATTTTGTATACAAAATCATTTCAAAAGTGCAACTTTGTATGTAAGATCCACGAGTTTGCAGTGGTGTATTCAATTTGGAAGGAGAGGAATGCCAGGCTATATTCTTCTGTTAAGAAGCCTAAACAAGTTGTTACCAAGGAGATTCAGCTTCTCCTTAATTAGAGTAAGCTTGCTGGACTAGGCAGAATGGTTGGTGGTCACGAGCTTCTCTCATCTTCTACTATGCGTCATGATGATTATGAGACTTTATTTTTAACCTGGTTCAGATACATCCAATTCTAAAGGGTTCCTCTTTCCTTCCTTGATACTCTCGATCAAATAGTTGCTTCACATGTGGTTCTATAATCTATTATAATGTCTCGTACACCACACCTCACATATTATATATTACTTTATATAATAAACATAACTATCATGCCTTGATCACAAATTAACATTTCATTCAACACTCAATCACTATTCCTAAACTCAGCAAACATGCTCATCTGATGAGGTCATCAGACCATTAGATGAATTGGAACTCCATAAAGTGTGCCACACAAGCCGCATAGGAGTCGACAAAGATGCATGTGCCTTTCTTGGAGCATACTGAATTAACCACGAAGATTTAGAACATGAAACCACTTGGATAACGTTCTCAGCTCAACTACAGCATGCCAAGAATTTGAATCAACCCAATCGGGGTTTTGATGAAGGAGATATTCAGTTTGCAAGTCGAGTGTTTCTGGACTTGCCCGGTTTGGACATGCACAGATTAATTAGAGATTTCCGACCAAACCAAGAAAATTTAAGGTACAAACCGACTTGTTCTATATTCTTGATCCATCAGAGGCTCATGAGGAGTTTGAACCAAATCATACCGGTTTTTGGTTGGGAGATATTAATTTTCTAAACCAAATGATCCTACACTCGCCTTATTTGGAACCTTTCGGATCTGGGAGATTGCAAACGTATCTTTGGAGACCAGGAGACCTTCTACATCAACTAGAATCTCTACAAAACGTCATTAGCTCTATCAAAATGCACAGAATCAGTGGATATTGTTCAAAGAATCACTTGCCTTTTTCGGATCCGTTTGTCATTAAACTCCAACGGCTCCTTCCCAATTTATTTGGCTGCAATTTGAGGACTTATCCAAGCCACCAGATGCTTCCCAAGCTGACCAGATACAAGTCAAGCAACAAATTCCCTTATTTGGCCAAGATACACCCATTAAGAGGCCAACGGCTAATATTATTAATAATTATGCACGATTTCCATCTTGTATTTATTTTTAGACCGTTAGTTTATTCTTGTAAGAGCTCTATATAAAGCTCATTTCTGTTCCATTTCTAAAGCACCTTTCAGTCAAAATTAATCAAAGTATTTTCGTTTTCTTTCAAAGTGTGTTTCTTTGAAGAATTGTTCTTTCTTTTGAAAACAAGTGTGAGATTCACTTCTATTCTTTAGAAACCGCGAGTATAGTTGTTTGTGTGATTCAAATAACTAGTTCGTTCACAGACTGAGAGAGTTAATCATCCCATCGATTGAGAGAGTCAATCAAACCATCACGCTCCATCTCAACATCACGCACATTTTCCGCAACAAAGCTTGTAAACTCTTGATTATCTCTTGAACATAAGTTTGGTGGATTTCAATCTTATATCATTTGGTATCAGAGCTTAAAAACTCATTATCCAAGGTTGTATCAATCCAACTTATATCCCTTTTCAATTCTGTTTTGCTTTTTTCATTTCAT